CCCCCCCCCCAAAAAAAAAAATCCCAACCTAAGAGAGGCTCAGCCTTTCTTAGTTTGTGTACCAGAATCAAACCCAGGTCTGGTGTCCTCCCTGCAGCAGCAGAGACCCCTTTTCTCGGCTCTTCTTTCCCTTGGACTGACTCACCCACATTGGAGATATACAAGGGCAGCCAGTAGAGGAAGGTGTAGCTGACCAGCTTGGCAAAGAGCAGACATAACGAGAACTCGATGACACCCTGGGCGGCACAAGAGAGGGCACAATGGAAAGGTACTCAAGAGACCCCCGATCCAGTTGAGGTCCCACAGATAGGACAGCACTCCCCCATGACTATGATCACGTCCATACAAAGCGACCTCAAACAGACAGCCCATCCTAATGGCAGCGATGTGCCTAATGCTTCATGTCATGTCAAGACAGTCCTCCTATACTGCTCTTCCCAAGCAGCCATCCTACAATCTGTGCAGAAATTCTTGAAACCACCTGCCACCCACATCCCATCCCCTAATAAATGATGGAGGACTCTAGAGACATTCTCTTCCCTTCATTCCACAAACATCTCACCGGAATTTTGAGTGCCCCCAGAAAACTGATGGCCTCCGGCTCAGTGCCCTGCTCCTTGGAGGAGCTGACTGCAATGTCCACATTACTCTCCCTATGGGAATAGGGACCATTGGCAGGATCCTCGGGGTTGTCTCGTTCCTTCTCCGGGTCACCCTGAGCAAAAGAGAAGATCCTTCCTTGTGGGCAGGGCCACTTACCAACCTTCTCTAATGGGAAGGGTGGCCCAGGTAAGCGGTAGGGGCACCCATCCTGGAGGTGGTGGTGTACATTTCTCTCTTGGGCTGGCAGGCCCGTCAGGTTGTGGGGCAGTTAACCCAAGAGCCCAACACGGTCTGTGGAGTCACTAATTGGCCCCTCCTTCAACTCTTGCCCTCCCATGGCCAGTTCGTGTGAGGCAGTCAGGGCTAGGGCTGGGATGGTATATTCACATGGTGCTGAGGAGGAGTGCAATCCACATCTTCTGGATCTGAGGGGAAAACAAATACCTTTCTGAGAAGCTTGCCAACAGGTCAGCCCCTTGCTTTGCAGTGGGTCTAAGGGGCTAAGTTAGTGCAGAGTTAGCCCTACACGTCCCATGTGGCCCCCAGCATTAAGGGAGCAGGCTTTCTAGAGCAGCCTGCCTCTTCTCGGCACTGGCATGACTGCTCTTGGATGAGTAGCAATTTGCCTGGCCTTGCCAACTCAGGGCTGTCAGAGAATGGGGAAAAAAACAGTAGCCGTCTGAATGTAAGAGGCACAGCCCTTTAGCAGAGCACCCACTATAGACAAAATACTTAAACTACATCGTCCCTCTTACACCTTCAGAAATCCTTGGGAACAAGTACTACTGTCACTTTATAGATGAAAAGGAACAGTTTCAGGGTCACAAAGCTAGTCCGTTCAATATCCTGAACAGCAATGCTCACAGAATATTTTCCAGCTGCTTCCTCCCATAAGCATCCCTTAGAGCCCGGGGGTGGGAAGGGGCCACTCACATTCAATAAGAAAGAGGAAAGTGACGATGCCCATGATAGCGGTGATGATGCCAGGCACGATAAAGGACAGGCCCCACTGCTGGTTCACCCAGACTCCAGCAATCAGGGAGCCCAGAATGTTGCCCACAGAAGTGTGGGAATTCCAGATGCCCATGATGAATCCCCGCCTGAAGAGAAGGGAAGGAAAAGGGATACAATAGAAAAAAAATCCCCCACCCAGCCAAGCTCAAAAGGCTGGCTGCCTCTAGCCTCCAGCTGTACACACAACTGAGATTTTCAGAGACCCCAGAGGCAGTGCAGAAGCAGCTCTGGGCTGCTGTTAAGCAGGTCACACACAGCTTGGAGGTCCCTTGCTGTAGCCAGCCCCTGGGCAAGCACAGATGGGAACTCTGACCATGGGGAAACCATGACCCTTCCATTCTTCTCTTCTGACCCCCCCCATCAGTATCACTCTAAAACAGTAGTCTTCAACTGGGCATGATTCTGCCCCTGAGGGGACATCTGGAAACATCTGGAGATTTTCAGTGGCCATGACTTGAGTTTTGTTACTGGCATCTAGTGGGGAGATGCCATGCTCACTGCAAAAACGGTGTGTGGGGCAGCCTCCGGAACAAAGAGCTGAACAGTCAGACCCATAGTGCTGAAGGGAGAAACTGAGGCAACCTCATACAAAAGCCAGTCCAAGAAAACAGCGTTATGGAGCCCTTTTACCTTCAATCAAAAAATTATCATACACCTGTTATGGGAAGCATGCCTGCTCTATGGGTTAAATCCTAAAGACGAGAAGAACGGCACTCCCCATTAGCCCCAGAGATGCTTCTTCTCAGTGGGTGAGACCCAGCAAGAAGACACATTTTCTAACCTGGTCTGAAAGTACTCTGGACACCACCCCCTCCCCTCGCTGGGCCCTTCCCACCTCCTTATCACACTCACTTTCCCTTTCCAAACCAGTTGCCAACGCAGGTCACCACAGATGGCCAGCCCGTGGTCTGAACAAGTCCGTTGCAGATCTGTAGGAGATGGACGGGAAGGTGAGAGTGAGTTCACCCACCCTGGGTAGAGGAGGTTCAGCGTCACGGCTGAGGAGACTTCCACACCCTACACTCCCCTCCTTTGCACATCCACACACAATGTCATGAACCGGCTTCTAGCCCAAGATCATGGGAGCTGAGCCCGGCCTTCCCATGCATCTGAAGCGGCTTCTGTGCAGTGACCGAGGCAGGCTTACTGAGCCAGTCATGCATGACTTTGGGGGAACAGGGCCCAGAGTGGGGTGACAGAAAGAGTCTGGGACTGGAGCAAGGAGATCGAGTTCCTGTCCGCTCTGGCCTGGGGGTAGCCAGGGACCTCAAGGGACCTCTCTTTGAGGGGAACAAAGACCCAAGTGCAGGACAGACTCATACCTGGATAAGCACAAAGTACCAGAGCATGTGGATGTTCCAGAAGTACCCCAGGCCAAAGAGGGAGGTGAACAGGCCACTGAGCACCATTCCAGCTGAAAGGTAGTAACGGAGGGGCAGCCGCTCCCCAAAGATCCCACTGGAGGAAAGGACAGGAGTGAACTCCAGGTTAATGCCATGTCCACTCTACCACCTCCCTCTCCCATCCCATGTTGCTGAAGCCACTGTGGCCATGGTTACCAGTGATGACCTGTGTCCTTCTGCATTCCAAGACTGACTCCAGTCCTCACTTCCAAGGCTGCTCTGCTTTATCTGACACTGCTCTGACATTCTGCTGCCCATGTCGATCCCTGTTGGCTGATCACTCTCACTTTCCCCCTTTCAGCACATCCCATGCTCCAGGGCCATAGTCAGACTGCCTTTTGGGTACCAGTACTTGGAGGGACACTCAACACTATAAATTCTAAATTCTCCCTCCTTCTTTCACCACAGAAGCCTCTGAAATGCCAGCTGTCCCCAGGTTCAGCAGCTCAGGCAGCTGTCACCGTGGCTTATAACCTTGTTATAACCTGTCTTGTCCACTTCACGCCTACCTCAGCTTCTCCCTCACACCTAGCTAAACTCCTCCATGGTTCTCCCCTTCCACAGCCAGGCGCAGGCCCTCTGCAAATGACCTTATCCTTCAGCCCTGTCTCTTGCTGTCGCTTCCTTCAAAGCTCCCCTTCTGGTAGCCCTGTGAGGGTTCCAGCTGCACTCCAAGCTGTTCCCTACTGGCCTGTGTTCACTGGTGCCCCCCCCCCCCGTGCCCTTCCCCACTGCCATGCCCATGGTTCTTCACATTTCAGGGCTCATCCGGAATGCCTTCCTTAACTCCCTGTCTTCAGTCCCAGCTCGCACTGCATGATCACCCAACACGTCAGCAATGTTCAATGAGCTGCTAAGATAAGGAAGGGTCTTTCCCCTAGGTTGTGAGCTCCTCAAAGGTCACACCCTGCCTTGTCCATCTGTGACTCCTGGCAGCAAGGTGGCTAGGTGAGACCCACACTGGTTGTATAATTTAGACAGCACTGTGTATGCTCTCCTTTGGAATCTACATGTCTAGGGCTTAGAGGACCTGGTCTATACCCACCAATGCTTCCTGTCCACTAGGCAGAGGAACAGGGTGGTGACCACAGTGAAGAAAGGAGGCTGGCCATGGGCTAATGAGCTGGGTGGGGCCTTGGCCTCACACCCACACCTAGGTACTATCAGCTTTCTTGCCTTAGCCTGCAGCCCCAGGTCAATCAGGAGAAGCAGCAGTTATGAAGCATCTACCCCACCCCACCCCCACCCCCAATGGGCATAGGCTCTGCCTTTCTCTTACCTAATAAACATGCCAATGGCATAAGCCACTAGGAAGGCATTGTCCACAGCTCCCAGTAACTCCTTGTAGTCATCTTTGTCTGAAAGCAGATGGGAAAGACAAAAAGTTGGCCGGGTGGCTATCCCCACAGGGAGGGCGAGTAGAGAAGAGTGATGCACCCTGTCCTTACCAAATGGACTCCAGCTGCACCAGGTGGTATCATTGGGATCGTGGGTGTCATTGCCGGGTCTGACCAGCTCTGAGCAGTTCTGGTGCAGGCGGCTCTGGAAGGCAAAGGAGCACAGGGGTCAAGGGTCATATCATCCCCTGGAGCCCACTCAGCCCAGAGAGAGGCAAGCAACCTGCTACTCAATCACAAGCACCACTGCTTCCCACCACAATCCATGCTTCCTCCCGCCAGCACTTCCTCCAACAGGGGTAGGTGGCCATAAGACGTTCAGGAATGGAATCCACAGAGCCTGAAGCCTCTGCCTTCCTAGCTCACCCACACCGAACAACGGTGCTGTCTGGAAGGTGAACTTAAAGGGCACATGTGGGAAAACATTGCAGGAGGGTTGCAGGAAAGAGCCACCAACAATGGGCATCTGCCAGGTGGAAGGAGCAGTTCCGGGGACCAAGGTAAAGGAATTTGGAAGGCGATTGCCCAACATGTCCTGCAGTCTCCCCTACCAAGCAGCCTCACCTTCACAATGCTGATGGGCTTTCTGGACATGTGATAACAGGCATAAATGAGGAAGGTGAGCAGCAGGATGAAGCCACGGAACCTGGAGGAGAGAAGAGCAGCAAAGTCTCCTGAGGCCCAGCCACGGTATCCTCCAGACCTCAGCGCCAACGTTTTCCCCTCAGGCTCTCTTCTAGACAAAGTTCCCAGGGCACAGGTCAAGAGTGTCTAGGAGCTAAGGATCTCTGTTGGAAGCACCTCCCCTGTTTCCGCCACCTTTTTCCCAACCCTTAGCCCTTCTAGGGTCTTACTGAGGCAAGGCTGTCTCTGTGTCTGGATATGAGGAACAGCTATGGCCACAGAGAGTTGGAATCATTTTCTAAATGTCAGAAATGATGGGCATGGGGTGGAATTAAAGGGGAGGGTCTGTCTGTAGAGTGAGGTCCATATTCCCCTCGTGCTTCGAGGACAGCAGACTTGGTCCGGACTATAGGAAGAGATGACTGAGCTGGGACAGCTGATGGCAAAACCTGAGTCCTCTCCCTCATGGTCCCTGGCTCGTCAGTTCCCCTGCACAGAAAGATTATTTCCTCTGTGGCTCACATGTCCCATGTGCCCTCCTCTGCCCTACTTCCTAATAGATGTGTTGGCCAGATGGAAAGAACTGTCTAATACAAAGTCTCCCAAAGTTTCCACTGTACCATACCCACTTCACCTCACCCAAGGGTCTAGGGAGGATCCTGCAGTGCCCTCCTGAGTCACCGTTTCCCCACAAGGCATCAGCTGAGCTGAATCAGCAACCAGGAACCAGGAGGTATATGGAAAATAGATCTCAGAATGGGGCTGAGTGTACAGCTCAGCAGTAGGACACATGATTAGTATGCTTGAGGCCCTGAGTTTCAACCCACCAACAAACCAACCAACCTGGAAGAAAATGTCAGACATTGGAAGAGGACTCAGTGCCTCAGCTCATTAAAGAGAAGGGTGGAGGGAAAGGGCGAGCAGGCCCTGGATCCCTCATCTCTCTTGGCTCCAGGAACCTAAGACAGACACTGGATGCTCACCCTGCCCTATCTGGTAATCTGCCTCCAAACTCTAAACTCACTTCCCCCAAGCATGTAATTAAGCAACACAGGCCATCTCTTGTGAAACAAAAGGTGTTTCTGCAAAGCCTTAATTGAGCTGAACTACCAAATCCTGTCTCACTTTGTCCTGAATTTTAGTTTCCTACCTGGACATCAGTTTCTATTCTCTCCATGGCCCTATATTTTTTCTTCTAAACCTTGGATGGTGGTGCATACCTGTTGTCCCAGCACTCAGGAGGCTGAGGCAGGAGGATTGGGAATCTGAGGCCAGCTTGGGCAACATGAGACCCAATCTCAAAGCATCTCCTTGGCTACTTGTTCCCAAGGTACCTGTGTCAATTACACAGGTCTTCTAGGGACTTCAAGGGAGCCAAGGCTACCCCCAGGTGCCTGCCTATCCCAGTGATTGACATCAAAAAGCTTGACACCAAAGTTTTCCAGGTCTACCAATTGCCAATATGGCTGATTCCTAGTTCAGGATTTCTAGAATTCTGTTAGAGAGAGAGGACCCAGCTAGCCTAGGCAAAGAGCAATGGATGGGCAGGAACTGCAACCCTATAGTTAACTGGGCTGTTGCCTAATCCAGGGAAAAGCAGACAGTTTTGAGGGACACCTCCCACTCACTCACCAGGTAAGCCTTCTGCCTCTGGCTTCTTCTATTGTACGTGGATGATAGCATCAGCCCTACCTAGGTCACTCATCCTGGTCCCCGGGTACCTGTGGTATATCACCTTTAAGTGCCACACAGCTCAGCTTCTGTGACCACTATCTTGGCTGACCACGTAGAGGAGCCAGGGTCCTTTGCCAGGATGTGTGGCCACAGTCACAACCTATCAGATCCTATCTGGTTCTGAAAGATCTTTAGGAACTCGGGTCCCACTGTGTCCCCTGAGATCCCAGCAGTGATGAGTGATGAATACAGACCCTAGTGTCACCTGGGAAGTCAGGCTGCACCTCAGCAGACACTGCAGATGCCTTCTGGAATGGACAGAAGCAGCTGTCCAGACCCTCCCCCTTTCATCTCGATTCCCAAACTCCCACACACCAGGAGCTTCCAGAGAGGAAAGTCCAGCCCATCTTTCCCTGGCTTTCTCCCATCTGAGTTCCCAGATGTTCATCCTTATCTGCTCCATGGCCCTTTCATCCAGAGTTCCATCCCTCCCAACCATGGGTAGGAAAAGCCATCGCAGAGAACAGGCACATTCGTGTCCAAATCTACATCCTGATATTCTTGGGAAAAACAAGACTGCTTTTGCATCCACGCATGTGCCTACCCTGTCACAGGCACCACACTAGGGACGTCACAATCGCAAGAGGAATGGGAAGAAAGATCGGCCTTCTGGAGCTCACAGGTCAGTGGGGGGAAACAAATATGGAGAATTGGGGCGACTGTGCCATAAAAGCAGAAAGCCCTGTGGGACAAGGAAGCACAGGGGGGACACTAAACCCAGTGGGATGGAAGCGGTGTCCGGAACGGGAGACCGCTTCAAAATCAAGCAGGAGATGGCTAAGTCAACCAGGGCTGGGGGTGGGGGGTGTGCCAGGCCACGAGCAAGAGCGAAGGCAGAGGCGTGAAATAACAGTGCCGGTTCGGGAACATTGCGTGGCCTAGGATATCTGGAAGGGGAGAGAGCCAAGCACAGAAGGAAAAGTGGCTGGATGAGGTAGGGCCCTGTGTGCCAAGTAGAGTTTGGACTATCTCCTGAGGAGGACTAGAAGCCGTCAGAAGGGCTGGGCTTTCCCAGGTGAGGGTGCTGTGGATACGAGCCAGGTGAAACCAGGGAGAAGGCCCATGTGGGCTTCCTCACCACAAGGTGGTGCCAGTCCCTGTGCCTTTCCATCCTGTCAGCCACTTCGGGGTGCATGGCAGCCTCACAGGATGCCCTAGGTTTCAAGTTCACGTCTATAGGGGCAAAGAGTAAGGACTTAGAATCAGGCAAAAGATGGTTTTATTCCCCAAACCTGTTTACTCCTCTGAGAAGTACTTTTTCCAGCTTCTTTACAGAACTCCTGACAGCCGTTTGTTACAGATCTTAAGCATCTCCGACACGCCTGGTTCTGTTTCAGGTTAGCACATGAAGAAGATCCCGAAGGACTAGAGGCAGCTCTCGCTGCTAATACAAGGGGGAGTTTGGGCCTTTATTCGCCCGGCAGAACTTAGGAGGCCATCAGCCCCTCCTCACCTCTCCAGGATGCCTGAGTCTCCTAGGACACAAAGTCCTGGGGTTGGTAGTGCCCTGCCTTGTTTAGGATGGGTGGGAGGGAATCTGCAACATACAGCAAAGTGATTCTGGATAGCTGAGGTCTTCCTGGGGCAGAGAGGAGGATTAGCCAGTCCATACTGGCATTCCGACCTGTGATTTTTTTTTTTTTTTTTCTTTCAGACCTGCAGGGGCCTGCCCAACCTAGATTCCAACCTCCAACGAAAAACCTGACCCCTAAGTCAGCAGGAAGGACAGGACCTTTGAGAGCCAGGCTTCCCTGGCTGTGCTGCCCGGTGTTTGCCTGACACTTGACTCCTCTGGGGCTTCCTGCCTGGCCTCTAAAGGGTGGAAGGTTAAGCTCCAAGTCACAGCTCTGGCTGGGCCCCAGCCTCCTTGGAGCCAGCCAGGCCTCCGACTAGCCAGGCTCTTCTCAGGTGTTCATGGAAAGGGCCCCAGGTGCTGCCCTGCAAAGGGGCCCAGGAACATGGGGGTAGGTTAAGGGTGGGGCTAGACTGAGGCCACAGATCTGAAGCTCACTCACAGGCCTGACAGGTGAGGACTCTGGGCGGGGCAGGACCTGCAGGTTTCACTTCTCACAAGCCCTTCCCTCAGGACCCAAGAAGCCCCAGAGGGGAAGCAGGGAGAAGACTTGCAGAGGCATGAGGCTAGAGATGGCCGTCCTGGCGCAGAGCTGGGCAGGGCAAGCAGTCCAGGGCCAAGGAACACGTCGGGGAAGGCCCTCAGACCACTCCACGTGGGGCTAGCTGCCCCATGGCCCTCTGAGGCTTTTTAAGCAAGGGGTGGCACTTCTTAGAGTCCCACCTCCTCCACTAGATGGTGGTTACTGAATAACCAAGTCAGATAGAGGGGGACCAGCTATCTCTTAACTATTAGCTGACAACCCAGCTCATTCTTTCCCAGCACCTAGATAATAGCTTTATCAACTTCATTAAGACTTTGCACTAAGAATGATTCTGGGCTAGGAACAGAGAACAATTTGTCACAAAGTAGCAATAGATAATGAACAAACACCACCCTTAAGTACCCTGTTCACCACCACCACCACCACAAGCTAACCCGACCCCAAGAGCAGCCTTTGATCTCCAGAAGGGTGGAAACAGACCCCTCTCCTCAGTCATCCCTGCTCCTTGCCTCCTCGTCCTTTGCTCTACAGACAGGCTTTTCTCTTGACAGCCCTGACCATGACGTAGAGACGATGGGGTTTAAATTCGGTCATTAATCGCCACCCCTGCTTCAACCTGGGACAGCCTCGAAGGCCAACATCAGGATGTGGCTGCAGGTGACCTTGGCACTTCCCCCAAGGAAATGAACCTGGTGATCTGTTCTTGGGTGTGCCTGTTCTGGGGTCAGCAGTTCTGAAAAGGATAGAGGGCTGGGTACAGTAACAACCAGACCAGGGTCAATGCGGACTTGCCACCACCCTCACCCTCTACCAAGCCCTCCACCAACACCGGGAGATAGCCTAAAGGGGAAGGGCCAGCCAAGAACAGACCCAAGGGCAGAGTCCTGGGTCATGCCTGCAGTGTACACGAGTGAGCAGGGCCAGGCCAGGCTGGGAAGGCCTCTGAGGAGAAAGCTTTCTTGGGGCAGGGATCAGGCCCATGGGATCCCATGCCTCTTGTCCTCCTCCTCTAGCTGGTACTGCTCTGAGAGATGGAGATGATGTAGGGCTCAGCAAGCTCACAGGTGGAAGCTCCACTCTTCTGAACAAAGGCTGCATGTGCAGCAGGGATGGGGGTGTGCTGATGGCCACAGAGCTGTTGTCCTGCCCAGGGAAATAGGATGATGGCCTT